GGGACTAAAACCTTTGACGTCTTTTTGTTTTGTTTTGTTTTGTTTGGTAACGTCAGAACTCGTTCCACCGTAATTTTAATTTGTAATTTTTAAACGGTTTTTAAGTGACGAAATACACAATGGCTGATGATTGCCGAAAGGCATGAAACTCAGAGTTCCATCAAAAGTTGTTTTTATTCATTTAATATAAATAAATAAATATTGCTCTATTATTTAATAGTATTGAGCACTCTTAAACGCACAAGAGTATTTGTATAATTATTATTATACCATAATAATACACTTTCTATTTTGTATATATATATATATACATATATATATATATATATATATATATATATATATATATATATATGTACATATGCTTTGTCATGGGAATCAATTATACAAAATGCTAAGTTCAAGTGTGCCCCATCCCTGTTTCAACTGTGCCCCACCATGGGGCACAGCTGAACAATTTTGCGAGCTTTGTTATAATGCATGTCACCTACAAAATACAACTGTTTTTATCTTTCTTGGACATAATTTAATCCTACCAAAAATAGTTTTGTTTGTATAAAACTTTGGAGTAAAATTACAAGCAGAAAAAGTTTAGTAAATCAAAATTTAACAATTTTTGTTTAGCTGTGCCGCACTCTCCCCTACTTTTATGCAGTTCTACGACTCTATCTTATATTTCATGAAACTACTGCATAATTTGTATAATAAAGGTATCTAAAGCTTAAATCTTTTTGTGTATGTAATAATATAAAAATTTTGATTTAAAATTATTTTTTGAACCAAAACTTATATACTCTGATAATTTTAAAAAGCATTAGCTTCTGGACCATCTTGGCGCAAACTACAACCTGATACAAACAATAGTCTTTAAGATGAATATGATGCAACTAATGGCGTCAATTTTCTTTTCTTTGTTTTACTACCTATAGTATCAAAATTCACCTGGGGTCTGTCAGATACTACAGTTGAATAAGACCAGAGTTTAAAAGTATTTGACTATTTAAGTGAAATTTTAACTAAAAAAAGTACGCCGTCATTTGAAATCATTTTCTTTGATATAACTTTCGGGCTAAATAGTGTTGTATTAGCTCATTTGAGAGATAATACTTGATTTTATTAAATTATGCAATTAAAAGAAAGGTTTTAAAACTAACATCTGTTCTATGTTTATTAGTAACACAAAAAATATTTTCAAATTAAAAAGAAAATTTGAAATTAAAAAAATAATAATAATAAATAAAAGCTTTTTATTTTACATACGCCATAATAATTATACAAAAATATATAAATTTTATTTTTTTTACTTTTGTCCACCACCTGGACAAAAGTAAAAAAAATAAAAGCAACCACTAATAAGTTGGAAGTTACTAGAAAACAAAAAATAGAGTTAAAGAGCAAGGAAACGGGTGTCAGAAGACTTGAAAAGTTGTAAATTGTATGAGTTAAGAAAACATAAATAAGGGAGACAATTCCAAAGGGTTGAAGTGCGGGGGAAAAAAACTAGACGAATCAAGCGAGAATGAGTTTTGATTGATGGGACTTGAGACGATAGCTCTTTTGAGCTACTAATATAATAGTATTTTCAGAAAAGGAAATAGATGTGATTATACAACAATGTTAAAGGGGCTCATGCTTGGCAGATAAAGCAGGTCAAACTACGTTTACAATGAGTTTTTGGACCTTGTCTAGAAGAGAAAAAGGGTTTATTTTTATATAAAAATGGTCAATTTTTAAATCAAGTTGGAAGTTTATTAATTTTATCAATTGATGGTAAATAATGAAGTTAATCGTTGCCGACAAGCCGTGTAGTTCGTGTAAAATGTTGCGTAAAACAATAAACAAAATCTCTGCGCGATGAAACACATGATGTATTAATAAATATGTGTGTGGACTTACTATAGAACTGTAGTTCTGTAACGACATTGTTATAGCTTTTAACATCTATTAATCATTAAAAAAATGATATAATCTATCTATACTCATAATAAAAAGAAATAAAAATCCTGGCTACATGTTTTTTTCTAGATTTGATCTCTTTCTGAATAATAACGTTTATGGAATATAAACTTTATA